TTCAGAAAATTATTCATTTAATCATTTTTTTAGAGTACTCATTAATCAATTTAATTGGACTAATAGTAATTGGTACAATTTTTTAATGGAATAAGTGCATGAGTACCTCTTTTGAGATCTCAATTCCAAACTTGTCAATATTTTTTAATATATATATATATTTAATCTAGAGTCTGACCAATTTAAGAATAAGCTCAACTAAAAATCATATGAATTTTCATGGTGAGATATTTAAACAAAACAAAAAATATACAGAGAGAGTCCATATCCGTGATTATTTCTCGAGAAACTGGTGTTTGAGGCGATGCCTTGAGAGTTCGAAAAACATTTATTATACTCTTTTTGTTTGCTAGTTAGTTTATGCGGTTACGAAGGATTTGAAGTTACTTATACGAGTATATGCTGTCTATACTTTGTAACGTTAAATAATATTTTTAGTAAGTTTACAGTATTACGAATATTTTGCATTTACACGATATGAAGTATATTATATTTTGGTTATATGTTGTATATACTTTGTAATGTTAAATAATACTTCAATGATATTGTTTTGTGGATAACTTATTATGAAGTTGCTTAAGGTAAATACTGCATAAACTTTGTAATGTTAAATCATACCTTCATCTGTCTTCTAATTGGTGTTATGAATGATTTGAAGCTACTGATATGAAGAATATTTTGGGTATATATGCTACATATAATTTGTTTTAATATACTAAGCATTGCATGTTGTCGGAAAAAATGTCAATCAAACCAATGTTTTTTATTGCGAGTGAAAACGTTGAGATACTATGTGTTGCCAAAAATAGACGTTTTTGCACCATTATTTTAGAAAATTAATGGTGCGTTTGGTTGATAATCAAAAAACAGAAATTTGAAAACAAGGGATTCACTGAAAAGCAGATGTATTATTTGTTTTCAGTGTTTTCAGATATATGTTTGGTAGCAGATTTGGTAATTGAATCTCAATTTAGAAATTGTTCCATGTATGTTTAGTAATATATTTATGAACTAGAAGTAGTTGCAAACTAAATTTTAGTTTAATCTAAACTTATATTAATTAATTTATTAACATTTTTTATGAATTCTGTATAATTGTTATTTTACAAGATTATATAATTTAGAATATATTATATTTTACATGTTTTAATTTTAACAAACATAAAATGAGTTTATAATATGAAGTAATATATTTATCAAAGTTTTTATCATTTTTAATGTAATTCTGCATCTTCAAAATTTGAAATTCTGAATCTGAAAACACTGAAAACATAAAAAAATCGTATTCACTAGATCCATCTGATTTAGTGAATCCGAAAACAGTTTTCAAAAATAAATATCCAAAATCGTGTCAAATGCGCAGGGAGGCATTGCATACTTAACTTTTGGAATCCTAAAGTACTATTATAATTAAGTTGAAAACTTTCTTTATTTTTTATTTTTTTAATTAAATTTTCTTTTTGAGACCGGAAACTTTCTTTACTTGTTCAACCCATTATAAAATACAATCGCATTCTTTAAAAGACTTATTAATTTATTAAGAAATAATTAATTAAAAACAATAAATATAATATGAGGAAATTAACTGAGGGCCTGAGGATATTTAATTACCAATATCAACATTTGTAAAATATGGATTCTTACATGACTCCGACTCATTTGGTAACGTTGTGTTTTTTTTTTTTCGCTTCACGTTTCATAACTGTTTTTATTTCTTGTTTTTCTTTTTTAAGAAACATTTCTAAAATTTTATAGAAATTAATTTGGAAATAACAAAATTAAGATATCGTTTGATAACCATTTCGTTTTGATTTTTTGTTTTTAAAAAATTATGTTTGTGTACAATTTCGTTGCTACGTTCACTTCTCTGGTAAACATATTCGAAATCTCAACCAAATTATATATATATTCTTTTGTTTTTAAAATTTGACCTAAGAGTTTGAAAATGTTTTTAATAAATATACAATAGAACAAATGAACACACATATGTAAAAGTAATATTTCTAAACTTAATTTTTAAAAACATAAAATAAAAAACGAAACGATTATCAAACAAAGCCTAAATTTCTTGTTTCTTGTTTTCATTTCCAATTATTCCAACACGTAAATAAAAATAATTTTATCATTCTTGATTTATAAAATGCATAATAAATATTAAAAAATAAATATAATTTAAAATGTTTGAACATTTAATTTAAAAAACTAAATTTCATATAAATTTTACTTTTTTAGTTTAAAATTTTGGAGAACATGTTTATCAAACTATTTATGTTTCTATTTTAAAGAAAAGTAAAAAATAAAAAATAATTACTAAATACAGTTTTGTTTTTTATTTATTAAAAAAGAGTCAAGGAAAAACAAAGAAATAAAAACAATACCATACACAAACCCTTAATTTGTCTTTTAAATTACTTTCAATTCAGTAAGTATAGCTAAAACAAGTTTAGCTCAACGGTAATTATGGTCAGGAAGTCATAAATTTGAATGACTCCGTTTCCATGTTTCCATATTTACTCATGAAAATGATATAATTGAAAGAAATATAGAAGGCCAAATTTAAACTTATAAAACAATTGGACTAAATTGCAAACAAAGATTTAGCTTTCATCTCTTGAGCTAAAAGAACTTTGCAAGTGGTAGATTTAAGCTTTTTTTTTATTTAATTTCTTTTTTTTTCTCTTTTTATTTTTTCATTTTACCGATATGAGCATAGCAAAGGGCAGATTTAGTGTGTTTTATTTTTGGTTTTTAATTTTTGAAAAGTAGGGATGTTTGATAACCCATTCAATTTTCTATTTTTTCAAAAATAATTTTGAAATTATAGGTAAATTTAAAAAATAAAAAAGAAAAAAAAAAGTAGATTTTAAGAATAGATTTCTATTTTTCAAAATATCTTTTTTCAATCTAATACTCAATTTTCTTTTTTTTTTCTTTTGAAATATTTATCTCTAACAAATTTCTTTCTCATTCTAAAATTTTTCTTCATAAATATTTCTCTAAAAAATTTATTTTTATCTCTCTAAAATTTTTAATATTTTTAATATTTATCATTATTTCTCTCTCTCCAAAATTTTCTATCTCTATATATTTTTTTCCTTTTGTTCAACACATCATTGTCATTTCTCTATGTAAACATTTAATACTTTCTAGAACTTTTCTTTCGTTAAAATTTGTCTAATTTTTTCTCACTATAATTTTTATTTTTCTTTCTAATTTTTTTCTTTAAGGTATCTTTTCCTCTCAACTTCTCTTTTACCCAAAACTTTTTGCTCTTTTTGTTTTTTTAACTTTTCTTTCACTAATTTTTTTTAAAACTTTTCCTTTGTTTGTCTTAAATTTCTCTTTCAAAAGTTTATTTTCATCCCTCTAAACTTTTATTTTCATGTCTCTACTTTAGGAATGAAAAAAATTCCTACAAGATCGAGTCACCGCTCCAATAATAGAAAATGCATATCCTGATCTTATCCCTGATTCCATTTTTTTAATAATTAATATATATTTTATTGACATATTTATTAAATATTGAATAAAATATTAAATATCTTTAGAAACTTTTATTTATACGAGTAAATAATACTTCTAAAAATAATTAATATATATTTATTATACTTTTTATTTTTTAAATTCTAAAAATAATGAAAATTAATTATGAAACAGGTAAGTTTTCTCACGAATATTCCCGTCCCCAAATAAGGATTCTTTAACAGATCTCGATTCCCAGATCGAAAAACAAGGTGGAGACGGTGGACTAAAAATTTTCATAAGTACGAGAATAGAAAAAGACATCCCACTCCCGTCCCACGCAATTGTCGATCTCTACTCTACATAGAATTTTCTCCCTCTAATATATATTTTCAATTTTTTAACTTCTTAAAACATAAATTTAAAAATGGCTACAAAACATGTTGATTTTCTATTTTTAAAAACAAAAAACAAAAAAATAATTATCAAATATATGATTTTTGTTTTTTAAAAACAGAAAACAGAAAAATCAAAACAAAAAATAGAAATCTTTATCAAATAGAGCACTAAGAAATATTTAGATATCTTGCTTTTGGGGGTTCAATCCCCCTTCCATATTTGTTGTATTAAAAAATTATTTTAATTTGGTATATACTTAAAAGAGGAATTATATCATAAAAAATTGTACTATTTCTGAATTAAATAATACATTTAATGTGATCAAAATTGAAAAAAATAAAATAAAATCATATAAAGAAACAAAAATAATGACAAGCAATCAATTTTGGACATTAGTCGTGAAAATGGACACAAAAAGAAATTAATAATTTCCCATATGAAATATTGTTTGTGGTCAGAAATCTCATCATTCACCTTTTTTTTTCTTTTTCTTTTTTTTGTCTTATTCTCATTCGTGAATCTTCAAACCAAGAAGAAAATTGAGATTCAAACTCTATTTTAGACCCCAATTTTTACATTTATTTTATTTTAGCTTTATCTTTTTATATGGTCTAACTTATTCTAAAAACTTTACGTAAAAATTCATATTTTATCCCAAATAAGTAAAAGTTCAAATTTTTTCAATTTTGTGACGTCAAGGGTTTAAGTTTTACGTTAAATTATAAAATTACTTTCAATTGTGTGTCTTATAAATTCTTTAAAAACATATTAAATACAAAATTTTATCATAAATTTTTGAAGTTTTTATTTAGTAGATCTAAATATTTTTAAATTTTAGAGGCTTATTAATTCAACACCAAAAATTCATGGATTAAATTGTAGTTTAACCTCATTTTACAACTAAAAATTAAAAAAGAAAAAAGAAAAAAATATTTGGATTTTTTAGAATAAAAAAAAAGTCTGGAGATATTTCCGGAAGACGAAACGAACCACATCCATTTCCACAACAGGGCACGAGCTTGACACGCGCTCCTCTCCGCTTCTCCATCTCCGCCGTCCACGTGTCTTCTCATCCAACGGCTCCTGCCCACTTTCCGCTATCTTTTTATACTTTCCCCCGCTAGCCCTCCCTTCACCACACGCTCTCCAAACCCTCAAAATCTCTCCAGATTCTGCCGATTTCTTTCGTTTTTTCGCTTTGTTAGCCATTTGGGTTCTTCAATTCTGCCTTTAATCATGCTTCTCCGTGCTCCTTCGGCTCTCTCTGTGGCTAGTTCTCGAGGGGAGAATCTGGGTGCTCCTCTGTTTTCCTCGTCGTCGATTCTCCGGCTGTCTCCGGCCAGAAATGGCGGCGGTGCGGTGGTAGTTTCGGCGTCGAAGGGGGCCAACACTCGGCCGCTGACAGGGGTGGTTTTCGAGCCCTTTGAAGAGGTCAAGAAGGAGCTCAGCCTCATCCCCAGTGCCCCTCAGGTCTCCCTTGCTCGCCAGAAGTATGCTGATTCCTGTGAGGCTGCCATTAATGAGCAGATTAAGTGAGTCTCCTTGATTTCTTAGTTTTTTTTTTCTTTGTTGAGAGATTTCTGATTTTTGTTGCTTTGAGTTCTGATTCTGCTTTGGACTGCTTGGATCTCTGTTTTGTGTTTGATTAGTGTTGTAGATTAGAAACAGATATCCGTTTTTGTTTCCCATTTATTTGTTCTTAGTTTAGAAACCAGAAATGAGAAACAGTTACAGATCTTCATTATGAATATGTTTGAATGAAATCTAACTTTGGTGATTTGATTACAGTGTTGAATACAATGTGTCATATGTGTACCATTCCATGTATGCTTACTTCGATAGAGACAATGTTGCACTCAAGGGTTTGGCCAAGTGAGTCTTCACACTCTGAAATTTCTTTTCGTTTTTTTGTTCTTGCCTTTCTTTTGTGCCTGAAATTGAGATTGAGATGGAGAAAAATGGTATTATTGAAAAGGTTTTTCAAGGAATCAAGTGAAGAAGAGAGGGGTCACGCTGAGAAATTGATGGAATATCAGGTAAACTTACAAAAAAGGGGAAAAATAATAATTCTAAGTTTCGTGATCTTGGTTTTGGATTTGTGGCTTTGAGATTGAACTGTACAAAATTTTCTGAAATCCTCAGAACAAAAGAGGTGGTAGAGTAGCATTAGAGAGTATGATTAAGCCCTTGTCGGAGTATGACCATGAACAAAAGGGAGATGCCTTATATGGTTAGTTTTCTTTTTTCTCTCTTTTATAGTTAATATTATGCAGATCAAAAATAGATTAATTTTATAGAAATTTTGAGATGATATTTCGGAAAGTTTGTAGAAAATATATCAATTGGCTTCTGATATTGATGTTGGCTCTTTGGTCATTAATCTTATGTTCTTATTTTATATATTGTAGTTTGTAATAAAGTTGTCTCTTATTTTAAAACTTTGCAGCTATGGAGCTTGCTTTGTCCCTTGAGAAGCTAACAAATGAAAAGCTGCTTCACTTGCACAAGGTAGGATTGTTTTTCCGAAGTCTCTTAAAACATGTTTCTTATACCGTGGTTAAGGCATATATACTCGACTTTTGAACTTATTTGCATTCTCTTTAGGTGGCTGATGAGAACAACGATGTACAGCTAACCGAGTTCGTCGAAAGCCAGTTTTTGGGTGAACAGGTAACACTCAATTGGATGTTCATGTTTTGTTGACAAATGGAAATGAAAAGATTTTCTAAATCCTTCCAACTTTTGCCATTTTAGGTGGAAGCAATCAAGAAAATTTCAGAGTATGTTGCTCAGCTGAGAAGAGTTGGCAAGGGACATGGTAAGTTTTTAACTTCTACAAAATCGTATATCATCGTCAAACATTACTATTTTGGGCGCTCGTGGATTTGTTGATCTTATTTGTTGAAACCCTTTTCAGGAGTGTGGCATTTTGATCAGATGCTGCTTCATGAGGGAGCATGAAGAGTAAGTGAATTGTGTTGGTGGTGAAGAATCTGAATAGGGTTTAGTTTAGTTTTTGAGGTGAAATATGAAAATAAAAGGGTTGAGCTGTTGTTGTTATGTGATGTCAATGAATGTGTTTGTGTTTGTGTTGTTTAGTTTAGAAGGCAGAATTGTTATTAGATTTGTGTTAGGGTTTCTTCTCTTTAACCAATGCCACCACTTTGTAATTGGGAGAATTGCTTGTTTCAATTCTAAAGTTTTCTAATTTTCTGAAATTGCTAAGTTTTTAAGGACCCTTCTTGGCTAGTGGTCATTCTTAATTTTAACTTAAATTTCTACTAATTCATCCACTAATTTTAACCACAAAAAGAAAAGTGATGTAGTTAAAAGTGAAAATTTAATTGATTAATAAAATTTATTAGCCAAGAAAATCAGTTTATTTTAGTGTCGATCTTATTTGAAGTCTATCAATTCTGTTTTATAATTTTTTAAATATGCATAAAAAAATACTTTTTCTCAAGGATTTTTTTTTTTAATATAAACTTAATACAAATGGTAACGTTTTTTCAAATTTAAGATGAAGATTATAATATTTATTTAAGTTAAATATGCAGTTAGATGAAATTGAAAGGTGTAGGGTAAAGCTAAAATATGATATTTTTCCTATTTTAATCATAATTATTTTAAAAAGAAAAAAAATAAAGCAATGAATGGCTTGTATATTAAATCATAACTGGCCTCCCCACAATGAGTTTTAAGAATAAAATGGAATTCCACTTTCAAATTTTGATGTTTGGATAATCACCATTCTCTTTGGTCAAAGTTATGACGATTTAAGATTGGATTGAATTTACGGTGACGTGACTTGGACTATCATTATCCTTTTTTTGCATAACTTTGACTAAAGTTATGTCTATTTAGTATTTAATATTTCATTTGATAATATTTTCATTTTTTTATTGTATGACTTATGATTTATGTTTTTCAATTTTTTAAAACAATAAAAAATACAATTTTCTTTAATTCTTGATTGAAAATCAAAATAAAAATATGTTTTGATAACAAAACGACGTCCCTTTCAAATTTTGTATAATCACCGTGCACTATAAGGAAAAAATGGAAAATATAAAGAAAAATAAAAAACAAAAAGATTATTTAATATATATATATATATATATTGTTTTTTAGGTAACTAAAATTAATCTACCAATTTGAGCTATCTCAACTGTTAAAACATCTATCTCCAAGTTCAATTCTCTATCCCATATATTATTGTATTAAAAGAAAACAAAAATTAGAAACTGATTCCTATTTGGTTTTATTTTCCATATTTTTTTTGTTATTATTTTCTCTTTTTTTTTTTTTAAGAAAAAATTCTTGTTTATAGAAATAAAAACTTGGTAGAAATTAGAAATAAAGAATAATTAATTCTTATATTTGTGTTTCATTCTTGGTAGTTCTGTGTGATTTAGGCACTCTCTTCTTTGAAAGAGTTTGAAAGAGTATTGTAGAAAGTGGGTCATAACCGAAACAAGATCATCCGAAACTAAACCATGTGATTATATCATTAGATTGTACAAGAAAAACTATATATTTAATGATTAAGATCGTAAAACCACATATAACAATAGCTACAATTCAACTTTCAATAATTTGTTTAATAGAGTCCAATCATTTCTAAAAAGATTTAAAATAGACTAAAACCTATTATACACAAGAACAAAAAAATCAAGGTATTACTTCTTTGAAGAAATGAAAACAAAAGGCAAACCCACACAAATTGCATAATCTTTGCATATATTGAATGTCTATCTATGTATCTATAAAAAAGGCAATCTACTGGACACAAAATTAGAGGTTCAAAAACTTATTAAATACAACATTGAAAGCTTAGAGACTTAATCTAAACCAGTGAAAACGGATCATTTCACCAATAATTTTACTAAAAAACTGACCTAATTTAAAATAGTGCCAGGTTTGGCACTGGCTGCAAGATTCTTTCATCAGTAATTTATCAGAGCATTGGAGAAAATGTAGGCTGCATCTTACGCACAGGATAACTAATATGGCTTATAAGTTCCACAGTAATAAAGTGTTTGAACGACAAAATCATAGAAGCAACAGCCTCACCAAATTTCTAGTAGAAATAAATAACGTCTCAAGATCTACTTACCCATAATAAAAAGAGCAAAATCCCAGAAACTGATGTGTCAAAACAATTTAAAATCATGACTACAGATTACTCAACTCTTTAAGCTGTAACTGCTGCTTGGCTTGCAAGCCTCTTCCTGGCCTCTTCAATTATAGATAATTTGACACCCTTGCCCTTTGGAAGGGATACCCATGGCTTCGTCCCCTTCCCGATTGTAAACACATTCCCAAGACGAGTTGCAAATTCATGCCCGGTTGCATCCTGAATGTGGATTGTTTCGAAGCTTCCCTTATGCTTCTCCCTGTTTTTGATCACTCCCACTCGCCCACGATTTCTTCCACCGGTAACCATCACAACATTTCCAACATCGAACTTGATGAAATCAGCAATCTTGTTTGAGTCAAGGTCCAGCTTGATGGTGTCATTCGCCTTGATCAGGGGGTCGGGATAACGGATTGTACGTCCATCATAAGTGTTCAGGTATGGGATGCCCTTTTGACCAAATTGCACTGAGCGAACTTTGCAGAGCTTGTACTGCAAAAATAAAATCAAACACATCACAAATCATCCAATTATGATAATTTCCCTTTAAGAATCTCACGTAATAATCAGGAGAAGAGAAAACAGCTGCCTTGAAGAAGTAATGAAGAAAACAAAAATGCAGAATGATTTTTAAAGATATGATATTCCATCTATACAAGTGTTAAAAATCTGTATTTGCAATTGCATCTTTTTTCCTGTGAATCCTAAACAGCATACATTCTATAAAACAGGATTGTTGTAACAAATAACAGGTAAAAGTTTGATATCAAAGAACAGTAGCTGACCTTAGCCTCTTCATCCCTGACTGAGTGAAGACGGAATCGACCTTTTGTGTCATAAAGAAGCCGGAAATTCTCATTTGTTTTGGGAATTGACACAACATCTAAAACAAAAAGGATGAGTTATGCTTAAAACATATATTAAAAATAATAATACAATGCCCATATGAAAGCATTGAAGCGAGTTAACACTCCATACCTTCCCTAATTCAGTTCATAAAACCAACAATAATTCCCAAACGGGGAAAAAAAAAGAGATTAATTGTGTGCATATTGGAACGGCACAGCTATTATGTTCAATTTTCAATAATTAGGGGAAATTAAACAGTACAATTACAAAATTGAAGATAAGCATACCCATGAATCCAGCAGGATATGTCTTGTCTGTCCTCACCTTAGCATCGACCAAAACATGTCGTTGCATTAAAATTGCAATTACCTCACGATATGTGAGAGCATATTTCAATCTGTTTCGCAAGATAAGAATCAACGGGAGGCATTCCCTTGATTTATGAGGTCCAGATGAAGGTTTGGGGGCCTACAAAGGGATTTTAAAGGTAGAACTAAATGTAAAAAAATAGATGTAATGCATAGTTTCAGAGTAAGAGTAAACTGAAATGTAACTACAAATTTTACTCACAAATGCACCACCAAGTTTGTCAAGCATCCAATGCTTGGGAGCATTGAGCCTCTTCAAATGCTTCTTCAATCCTCTTGCCTGCCAAAGCCAGACATTAATTTCAAAGACACAGTTATCTATCTTTAAAATCACTATCCAAGCACATACACAGAAATCCAGAGAGCACAAAACAATAACAAAAAAAAAAAAAGTGGTGAACAGAAATATGCTAATGATACTTACACAGTAAATCTTAAAGAAACCTTTTAGAAACACACAAACAAACTAAAATACATGGATGAAAACTCAATCAAGCAAACCAATCATACTTAATACAGAATGGCGAAAGTTCCATATTTTTGTGCACAACAATTGCTATCTCAACAAAGAAAATAGAAACGCAGGAACACATCACAATCTAACAAATCAGCAGGATCAGAAATCACCCAACACAAATACATTGGTCTCAAATTCTACGAAGATAAACAGAAACAAAATCCAAACGCAAACCGAAACAGCAATATTCAAGATATTAACGTAGAAAGAAGTTTGTAAAGAGATCCACTGACCATGGTTTCAAAGAGAAGTTCAACGGGGCTGAACCCTAGAGTGAGATTGCCGCCGGCGCCTGCGGTGAGAGAGCTGCAGCTTCTGGTGAGGCGAACGCGAGAGGGAGTGGTCCAATGGTGGTATTATGGAGAGGACTGAAATTAGGGCAAAGATTTTGGGCCCATGAACTGGTTTAGCAGAGAATATTTGGGCCGGGCCTTTGAGAAAAATTTTTGGACACTTTTGGGCTCGTGGGCCCAAATGTAAAGGAAAGTGTTTTGAATTGGATAATTGCAAATATAGCCTAATTTATATAATCAAATTACAAAAATATCATCTAAAAGAAACATTTGTAAATTATAGCAAAAATTAAAAAAACATATAATTCGAGTAATGGATTAATCACATAATCAAGATTGATAGTTTAATCTCATACTGTAATTATTGTTTGTTACAATTACTTTTAATGAATCAATATATAGCTATAGGTATAGAAATGATTAATGTGTTAAAAATACTATGTGTAATTATTTTTAGATATATTTATATAAAATATATTTTTTCAAATATTTTATAAAACTATGAGCACATTCAAATTTTCCTTTGAAATTTATATATGGTCACTTTTATTTTTGTTTTTATTATTTCAAATCTTTGTTTGTTCAAGTAAAATTAAAATTAAATGAATTAATATAAATTGCGTTTTCCACTGATTTTTTCACTAAATTTTGTACACTCCTTTTTCTCTCATTCTCTCCTCCCATCGATTTCTCTCTCTTCTTCGTCTCCACGTTCTTCCATAGTCCCACTAATTTTTCACTCTCCCTCTCTTACATACGTGGAATATTCATACCTTCTTTTCTCTCCGAGTTTCTATTATATAAAGGGAGAAGTACATCAGAAAGTAACACAAAAGAAAAAAAGGAAAAAATTATCATGGTAATCATATATTTTCAATTCTGATTTTTTTTTTCACTCTACTTTCAAATTCCCAAAATTTATGTTGTGATTTAATATTTGATTAGGAGACTAATTTTGCACTTTTATTTTAGGAGAAAGAATTTCATGAATGGGGTGTGATTATCTTCTATTCCTTTCTTAGTTAATATATTTGATGTCATTGCATGTTTAGTTAATTTTAAAAACTAGCTTTGTTTTGGAGGTTAGATATTTGAAATTTTAACTAATTTGAGATATGTTGATATTTATCCATTTGAATGTTGGTTCACTATCCATCTTTTGATTGCACACTTTTGAGTTGTATATATTTATCTTTCACACTCCTTAGATCCAATTTCATGCATCCAAAAATATTTTTAAAAAATTTATAAAACAGAATAGCTTTGATCATAATGTAATCATTTTTAAAAACTACAAAAATAGGGTAGCTTTAATTTTAAATATAAAAAAAAAGTAAATTAAATTAAAAAATTATTATACTATAGTATTTAATCACTCGTCACAATTTTCTTTATTAGTAAATTTATCGATTTTTTTTTTAGGTTTTGAATTTTTCTTTTCATTCTCAAAATCCTTGGATAAGATTAATATCCGACAAATCTGCTGAAATTAAAAAAAAAAAAAGCAAATATATACATATATATAGATATCACATATATATATCAAATATATATCAGCGGTCTATAAATTTCATCCCATTTTAGCAGCAAACAAATCATGTGCATGATTTTCACCCGGCATATACTTGACTATAAGGGGGCGTTCAATGTACGCGATTTAGACATCTTGGATTTATCTACCTATTCTTGAAATTCCTATCACAACTACCATATTTCTATATATATTTTTTAGAATACATTATTTTTATTTAAAAAAATCCTGGCAATTAGACATTAAATTCTTTTTGTTGGTAATTTACTATATTGAATTTTTTTTTATTTATCACTTGTCTCTAACTAACTATATATTTCTACTTTTGGCGATTTTATTTGACATTTCTTCTAGTTTTTGTCAATTCCTAGTTTATTCATGATTTCTTAGTTTTTTCTTGATTTCAGATTTGTGTGTTTGGTTACTTCTGAGTTTTGATTCTCTTTTAGACTATTTATTAAAGTTTTAAAGTGCATTAACATCTTCATTTCTACTTTTTGTTATGTTAATCCTTAAACTTTGTGACTGTTTTTTTTTTCTTTTTTGGCGATTTTATTTTTCATTTTTGGTTTCTTTCTAACATTTTGTTCTTGATTTATTAGTTTATTTTATAAGATTTTCTTTTTCACATTTCTTATTTATTTTCTTTCTTGTTGATCACAAAAAGCGAGGGCTAAGACATCTTTGCTTTCCTCTATTTTTTACCCACTTATTCCAATATTTTCCTCATAATATTGGGTTAATCTTATAATTAAGAATGCGGGTACATTTCATATTGTTGCTTGCTCCCTCACTCCCTCAACAATCTTCGTTGTTTCATTCTCAATATGTCGGCTTCGTTGCAAGTCTTTCACCTTCTTTCTTTTGATTCAGTTTAATATTATTGTTAATATGTTTATTAGAACTTCTCATTCCGCTTTCTCATTCATTCACCAATACTTCTCGGAGTCAAAGTCCTCTATTTTCTCACGTTATTCTACGGTTTTTCATTCTCGAATTTTCTATCGTGGAAAATCACGATGGTTTGTTGGATTTTTAATGTGTGAAAGAAAGTGAATTTTGAATGAATTGAACATTTTTAATTACAAAACAAATTCTTTGGTTCATTTGTCATTTTTGTTTCTTTTTGTCTTAATGTGTAACTTTGTAACTTTATGTGTTAAAAACACATATATATTAAACTTAAGTTATCTTAAGTGAGAAGTTTTTTATATTTACGTGGGTTAAAGTTATAACATTGTTTAATTTTGTGTGACAGGTTACATGTTTGGACAACTATATATAGTTGTGGTTTTCCGAGAAATCAAACTTTATCATTTGAGTTCTCCCTCCTCTCACGAGAATTCTCTCTTGGGGTGTTGAGAGCAAGTATCTAAGAGTTCTACCAAATCCGAGTAATTCGATGTTACAGTTCTATCAGAGTTATTTGTTGTATCATGTTGAGACGATCGCTGTAGTCTGCTAGCAACTTGTGCAGAGCGAATAATTGTATTTAGGTCAGCGCTATTGAAGTTTGTCTCAACTATATTTATCAAATTTTGGTGTTAGTTTTCAACATTTATTATTGTTTGTAGCCAGTTATGTTGTAAATTATTTGCTAGTGTTATTCATTTTACATATACATCATATATTTTTACCAACATAGTCATCTCAACCTCGGAAAGCACCGATTTCTTCTCTTGTGAAAAAGATCAGGGGAGACTTCTTCCAGCAACCCCTCAACTCTCCATTTGCTCGATACTCCCAATAAGTTGCATGCATTTTCCTCTATTTTGGTGATTATATTTCGCACTTATTCTTGTCGCTACGGTTTGTAACGCAGAGCGACCAACTTTTTCTCGAGAGGAGAATAATGGATTCACCACCAATTTTGATTTATAAGGTGTGACTGATCACCCAAATGTATGAAAAAAGATTTAAGTTATGTCTTTTGTATATGAGGAATGTATTAGCAAACCACAGCTCAATAATAATTATTCTCATATTATTTTCAAAAAATTGACAATTAAAGAAAAGAATTTTATTCTTATTTTTAAATGTCCATTTTAACTATTTGAACTTAAATTTTTGGTTTGTTATTTTTTAAGACGTATTGAATGCTTTTAAAAATTGAAACATTTTCATAGCATGGAATGTCTTTATAATTTTTTTTTTATTTTGATGTTTTTTTACAACAAAATTTCCTTATAAAAGAGAATGACAAAAAAAAAAGGAATATATATTATTTATTAAAAAAAAATATTTAACTACAAAAAGATGATTTTTTTAGGATAAAATGCAAATAAAATTTTTAAATTATTTAGACTATCTTTCTACAAATGTATTGGTTATTCTTTTTTCTTTTCTTTTTTTTTTTGTTTTTAAAAAGTTATCATTCCAAATAAATTTGTAACTCTCTATATATATAATATAATAATAATACCTAAACTAAACAAAGATAATAAAAATAATAACTAAATTAAACAAATATAATAAAATAATCTGACTAAATGTAACACAGAACATTACCCTATGAAAAAAACTAAATATGCCAATATTTATTTCATACAACAACAAATTAATAAAAAAAAATACTACTTTACTATCAAGTTATAAAAAAACAAAATAAAATAATATTATTTAAACACAATAATATATATTTTTTATCATTTGCAGGCTAGCCTGGCCTAAGGTACAAGCGAGGGTCTAAGGTAAGCTTGTTTTCCTCTTAACACTTCTTCTAACTGTCCCTGAACTCTCCCTTGCTCGGCTGCATTACTCAACCGATTGCGAGCATGCTGTCAACGTTCTTATAAAGTGTATAACACCTTCATTTTTGTACTTCGTTGCTCCATTCTCATTCTTCCGTCCTTGATGCTTAATTCCTAGTCTAATCTCATTATTAATATACTTATCGAAACTCATCTTTCAGCTTTATCATTCATCAATAATTTTTAGAATTGGAGTCCTTTATTTTTTCACATCTGTCTATGATTCCATTCTCCAATTTTCTATGACGAAAAATCGTTATGGTTTGGTCGTCTCCACCTCCGAAGGTATCGATATTCTGCCATTGACGCCTAGTGATTTCTTCTCTCGTAAAGAGATCGAGAATGAATGTAGACTTCTTACAGCAACCCCTCAACTCTCTCAACTGCATTACTACTTAGTCGTCGAGGATGCAGTCAATCTTCAAATAAGATGTATTACAGCTACATTTTTACTTTGTTTTGTTAATCTTGTTGGGGCTTTTTTCCGCTCTTTTGGTGACTTTATTTCACACTCATTCTCATTTCTTTCGATAAATTGTTCTTGATTTTTTAGTTTTTTTCTTTAGATTTTCTTTTTCCTCTTTTCTATTTATGGGAACTCCTCGTTCCGCTTTATTGTTCATCAATACTCTTCAAAGTTGGAGTCCCATATTTTTCTCACGTCTCTCTACAATCTTCTATTCTCATATTTTTTTGGTAAGAAATCCAGACATCGAGAGTGAACTTTCTACCTTTCAACTCTGCTAGATTACTCAACAGCCTACAAGGATATAGTAAACCTCCTAAATTAAATAAAGTGTGTAACCCCTTTTTTCTGTTTTATTAATGTTCCTGTTCTTTATTCCTTTTGGCAATTTTATTTGATACTTTCCTTATTGTTTCTTTGGATTCCCTGTTTATTTTTTATTTCTTAATTTTTTTCTTATTTGTTTTTTATTTTTGATTTGTACATTTGGTTCATCAGTTCTGATTCACTTGTAGAGTATCTAGCTATTTATTTGCTTTCTTGTTCATCATTTTGTAGGCCGGGCCTAAGGTTAGACTAGAAAAATGTTTGATCTATCTGATATGGGGAGAGAAATAGAGATGGGGGAGGGGAGGGGAGTGTCCATCAATACGTAGACTAATAAAATTTTCTTTCCTAATCTATAAGTGGAAGGAAATAGTAAAAGAAATGCTCTTACTATTACTATAATTTTGTATCTGTCAAATTAAAAACTCTTTATTTCTTTGCTTTCTAGTTTACTTCTTTAAATATAGTTTCTAAAATCTTCGTCAAATTTCAAAAACTAAACAATTCCCAATAATATTATTAAAGTACACGTAAGTCCCGGAAAAAATAATCTGCTGAAATGAAAATAGATATGAAGAACATGAAAATCAAAACATAACTAAGGAACCATACTCAAAAAATCAAAACATAACTAAGGAACCATACTCAATCTACAAGCTAAAGCTAACTAAGCAGTGAAAGGAAGAACCTGTGAACCCAGAAGAGATCAATTAAGCTCACAATTCATCACATAAGAGAAAGCTCGGAACATCATGTTTTTTAAAATCATAGACCTCACTGATCTATACCAGAAAAACTGTAACTTAAAATACAGTTTTCATTTTATTTCTTCATTTTCAGGATTTTTATATTCAGCCATCTATTTTGTATATTGATGGAACAAAAATTATGAATTTTGTTGAAATTATTGAATTTAGAAAGATTTTACTTCGATTTTTGGTAAAATTAGTGTGTATTTTAAAACAAAATGAACAAAAAGTAAAAGTTACAAAACTTATCTAAAAATAAAAGTCTAACATAAAATTAATGGCAAAGGTGTGATTCAAAATTGATACCTTAAAAGTCAATTTAAAACGATTTGAATTTTTCTAAAATCAATTTTTTTACCAAACATAATCAATGGGAAGAAAGTGATTTTAGCAATACAATGACAATTGATTTCGATCCAAATAACTCCCAAACCTTTTTGGCTTTTAATCCTTAAAAACCATTAAAAATAGTTTATATTTTGAATTAAATTTAATTCTTACTTCAATTATAATGGGATCCAATGCATCTTTCTGATTTAATGATCATATTCTCGCCCATCATCAAATAGAGAATCACCCTTTTCAAGGATTGGATATATATTAAATGCTCTAATATTATTATTTTTAAAATAAATATATCAAATGCTCTGCCATTTCTCCTTCTGTTCAGATACCATATTTTACAATTTTTCTCTGAACGATTTATATATTAAATTTTACATTCAATATACTTAATATTGATTTCCTTTTTAGCAGTGTTAATCTTTTTGTTACATCAAAAGAAAAAAAAAGTAGTTTTAATCTTCTAAATTAAAGCCTTTTTAAAATTTAGAGAACTTTGGAATTGAAATTTCCCGATTAATTAGATGTTTACAATAAACTTTAAATCTCATCAAATAGAAAGTTTTACAACTTTTCTGTTATATTCTTAACTAATATCAACCAAAAGTAACATTTAGACCTTGTTTCTGTATTTTGCAAACAGAAGTTGTATTCAAAATAGTCTGTTTTAACGTTTAACAGTTCAAATTAAAATGCCAATTAACAACATGATATTATTTTATTTTTTTTTGAAGAAAAAGAGCACTACTCTACTCGTTAAAAACAAAAAGTATATGTCAAACGGTCTTGATAGAATTTCATACCATATTTTACAAATTCCCCAAACTATTTATATATTAATTACATCAATATACACGACCTCCTTTTTTAGTGGTGTAACTTTAATTTTAAATAAGTATATTTGAAATTTAACCGCATATTCATTGAATTTTTTAAAAAATTTCTAAAATATTTAACTTTCTAACTTATTTTAAAATAATGCTTCTAAAAATAATTTTTTACTTTCAAATTTAATTTCTGATTGGCTAGAATTTTGAAAAGCTATATTTTATGCAAACAACAAAGGAGAATAAAAAAAGGGTAATGTTAATAAAAAATTAAATAAAGGGAAGGAGGGTAAATACCTAACTAAATCTACTATTGACTCATTCTCTAAGTTATTAGATGACAAAGAAAACAACGTGAATAAAAGGACAACGACGAACAAAACACGAACAATCAGCATAAAGACACAAACATAAAACAAAACTAAGGTTTAACATAAAAACAAACAAACATTCTCTAACTAATTACTCACTGCAAGCTTTCACAGTCAGCAATGCAATAAAAGAATATCAAACAAAAAGTTTGAACACTCTCCAGTGCTATAACTTATAAAGAACAACAAAAACAATGAACATTCACAAGAAAGCAAGAAAAACAAACTACTTAAACAAAACAAAAGTTTAACAAACACAAACATAAAAACAAACAAATATTTCCTCTAACTAATTTCTCACTACAAGATTTCACAGTCAGCAATGTAATGAAAGGAATATCAAAGAACAAAAAGTTTGAACACTCTCCAGTGCAATAAAACTTACAAAGAACAATAAAAATAATGAACATCCACAAGGAAGCAGGGAAAAACAAGCTACAAGCTGCTCCCCAAAAATTAAAGCATAACCAAAACAAATAATAAAATCCTAGGAACCAAAACAAATGTTCAATTAAGATAACCTATAATTGGTATTAGAATGGGAAGGGACGGAGAGATGAAATGAAAAATAAGTACTTCCACCCCTCCAAATAGTAACAACAGTTTAAAATAATTGATGCACATATTTTACGCAATAACTTCATAGTTTGCCAACTAAACAAACAAAACATAAAAAATGTCATCATAATACTACAAATTTGAAATTGACCATTGCAATTCATAAAGAATAACAAAAACAGCCAAGAACAAAGCTAAATGATCATAGTTCAACATCGATGGCTAGATATCTACTAGGACAATAAATGGAGATATATTTATGATTATATAAATAAGCAAACAGTAAATAATAAGCTCAGCCAACTGCACAATAATCAAACCAAAGAACCTAACAACTACTACTAAATCTATATAGTTCAATAATACTAATAATGATAAATGTTTTATTTCACTAACATTGAAACACGATATTCGAATAATAGGGAGAAGAGGAGGAAGAGGGGAGACTGGAAACGGGAAAAGTGAGGGAGAAAGGAAGAGACATCATGTCAAAGTTAAACCAAAGATAATAATGCCATAATAATATAACGACTCTAAACATCAATTTAGATCAATCAAATGGTAATAAGAATAAAACAAAAACCTACCTATTATACAATAAGAGAGAGAGAGGAAGTAGGTGGGAAGGGAGGATGGAGAAAAATATCGATGTACCTATAATCTAAAATTAAAAATAAATAAAAATCTTAAACCTTAGCAAGGGAAGAATGGAGGAAGCACAGAGTGTACACTCTTAACTCATTTTCTTACTAATTTCTCCATACAACGTTTAATATACAGTTATGAAAGGACAGAATATCAAAGACATAAAAGTTTTAACACTCTCTTATCAACATCCATAAGGAAGAACAAGCTAGTAAGTAAGGACAATCAATGGGGATCAAAAATATTTATAAGCAAACAGCAAACAATAATCTCAGCAAGCTAGATAGTGCTCCCCAAATAAAAATAATAAATAAACAATAAGATATGGAACAAATACAATACAATTAATAGAAAACTGTCAGTAATAGTCACCCGAGAAGCTAACTACTACTAAATCTATCTAATTAAATATATACAAAAAATAACAAACATTCAATTAAAATATCATTGGAACACAATCCAACAACGGGAAGGGAGGGAGAAAGAGAAAGGAAAAGAGGAAAGGGGAGGAGAGAGGAAAGAGAGGAAATGAGAGGAGAAGAGAGACAACATGAAGACCAAGTGCTCCCTCCAAAGTCCAAACAATATCAATAGTGTAAAACGAATCCTTGTATCAATCAAGTTACCTACATTATTTTGAAATTTACCATTTCAATTTATGAAGAATAACGAAAAAGCACCATCAATTATAAGGAAAGCAGGAATAACCTGCTATAAGATTGTAGTTATAAACGTCAGCAAATAATAATTGTTGTAATATGAACTAGAACAATAAATGGAGAGAATTATTGATGTATTTGTCATCAAAAACTAAAGATTCAGGCTTTGTATAAATAAGGAAATGGTAAAAAAATAATCCTAACTGCTCCTAATTAGAGAAGCTAACTACTACTACTAAATTTACCTAATACAATTAATCACAAACGTTTTATTCAAACAACATTAAAACACGATACTCAAATAATAGGAAGAGAGAGAGAAAGAGAAAGAGGAGGAAGGAGAGAGGAGAGGAGGAAGAGAGGGAAAGGGAGAGGGGCGTAGGGAAGGAGGAGAGGGAAGAGAGAGAGAAGGGAGGTTGAACGAGGAAGGATGGAGAAGAGAGGAAGCAGGGGTGGAGAAGAGAGGAAACAGGGGAGGGAGAGAGGGAGCTCTTCTATTGTTATTAAGTAGAACCTAAAAATTCTTTATCAAAGTATTAAGCAATTTATTTACTTTCCTCAAGAACTGAAGGTAAAAAATAAAAAATCACTATCTAGAATCTTATATACACGCAGACAAATGTGATTTTATGGAGAAAACATTACTTAAAACAACCACTAAAACAACAACCAAACAACATGACCAAACAACAACTCATGGTCCAAATAACAACCAAAATAAAAAATGACCAAAGCAATAAACAAACAACAAACACGACAACTGCCAATAAAAAGTAGATAAATAAAAGATGTAGCAGTAATGTACACACAAAGAGGGGAAAGAAGCAAGAACTAGAAGACCGTAGCTATAGACTGTATAAATGAATGAAAACTACAACCTTTCACACTCAGTAATGAAAGGAAGGAGTTTAAATGCATAATAAAACATACATAAAAGTTTTGTAACTCCATCAAAACAAATAAAGAATCACAAGTTTTGTCACTCCATCAAAACAAATAAAGAATCACAAAATTAAAGGGAGGGTGGGAGAGAAGAGATAGAGACAAAAAAGGAGAGTATGAGGAGATACAGGAAGGAAGGGCTGGATGAGAAAGAGAGAGAGAGAAAGGGTGGAAAAGTGGATTCAATAGCTTGGTTGATGGAAGATCCTATTGACAAGGCTCCTTGACATGGAGAACCCACTAAACAAATCAACAAACCAACAAAAAAGAGAGAGACTGAGAGGCATTAAAAACAATAAATGGATAAAAATACTCATATAATCCTCATCTAAAATAAAAAATAGAACATTGAATAATAAACCAACTCTAGGAGACAATGTTAAGAACAGCGGTACCCCGAATACCCCCAAGTATCTTCACAATAGTATGATATTGTCCGCTTTGGACATAACCCACTTTGCTTTTCGTTTCACCCAGAAGGCCTCGAATACCCCCATTAGATCACTCCCTTCCCTGGCCATCCCTAGCCAATGTGGGATTTTGTTTGCACCCTCCTTACAAAGCATCCTCCCCTCGAACAAAATATCATTGAGCCTCCCCTCACTCATCTGTCTACTCTCGAAACTTAAAGGAGCTTGCTCTTATCAAGGCTTTCGCCATACATTGATAGAGTACGCCCGCAGATTACACCATGACTACACCTCCGAGGATCACCACTTCTTTGTTCGACACTCGAGAATTCTTTTCTTTTTTTGGATAAGACACTCGAGAATTCACCGACATAGCCAGGTTTAGACCATGATTCTGATACTACTTGTTAAGGACAACGGTACCCAAGTACCCTCTCGTATCTCCACAGTGATATGATATTGGGCATAATCCTAACAACTTTACTTTTGGTTTCATCCAAAATGTCTCACAAGAGATAATTGTCCTCTCTTATATACCATGGATCACTCCCTTCCCTAGCCAATGTGGTTTGCACTTTCCTTACAAACCTAACCATCCTCCCCTTGAACAAATTACCATTGAACCTCTCCTCAAGTAGTCACTCATATCTACTTTCGGAACCTGAACGAGAGCTTGCTCTTATCCAAGGCTTATGCGCCATACCTTGATAAAGCACACCCGTGGATTACACCATGACTACACCTCCGAGGCTCACCACTTCTTTGTTCGGCACTCGAGGATTCACCGACACAGCTAAATTTAAATCATGGCTCTGATACCACATATTAAGGACAACGATACCACATATTGTCCGCTTTTGGCATAGCCCTCATGACTTTGCTTTTGATTTCATCTAAAAAGTCTCGTACCAATGGAGATAATTTCTCTCTTATGTACCATGGATCACTCCCTTCCACAGCCAATGTGGAACATTGTTTGCACCCTCCTCAAACCTAACAGACAATGTAACCAAAACAAATCCTCCCAACTAAATAATATTGAAATACAATACTCCAATAAAGAGAGTAGAGAGAGGTATAAAGAGAGGTAGGGGGAAAAAGGAAAGAAAGTCGAGGGCAGGGGAGAGATAGAAAGAGAGGAAAAAAGAGAGAAAGAGAGAAAGAGAGGGCGAGGAGAAAGAGATAGAGGATGATAGGAAATGAGAAGAGAGCTACTGGTATTCCATGCATAAACATAATGGCTCTAAACTTAAAAGACTACTCAAGTAGGCATTAATAGGAACAAACTTAAAGTAACTAAAGACTATTTAATTTAAATCAAAATGATCCTAATTAAATAATACCTCAAGTTCTCATTTGTTTCTCTTCAACAGGCAACCAAGTTCTCCATTTTAGAGTCTCAGCTAGGAAAAAATGCATGTGGATGGGACAACAAAACTTCCCATACCTGAAAATAAAGAAGAGAGCCACTGGTATTCCACGCATGAACATAATGGCTCCAAACATAAAAGACTACTTAAGGAGGCATCAATAGGAACAAACTTAAAGTAACTAAAGACTATTTAATTTAAATCAAAATGATCCTAATGAATAATACCTCAAGTTCTCATTTGTTTCTCTTCAACACACAACCAATGAACCAAGTTCTCCATTTTAGAGTCTCTGCTAGGAAAAGTGCATGTGGATGGGACAATAAAACTTCCCATACCTGAAAATGAAGAATTAATTCTCAAAAAAGCAAAAACAACCGAACAACAACAAAAATGACAAAAATAATTAACAATAAAGAATGACCACAAAACTATCAATATTAATTGATTGAAAGAGAAATGCAGCAGGAAACCCAATACTTATGATACCATTAAGAAACTTGTGATACCTGCCTACGGGAATAGAGACATATAAGATATACACCTAAGTGTTTGACTGCAAAAGAGAATGGATAAACATATAACCGAACCGAAAGTAGGGAAAACACATTAGTATTTGAAAAGATGCAAACAATTAACATACTTTAGAACATTGATTGAAGAGGAACTCAACTCACATTGGATAAGCATCATCTTCTGTTTTAAAATGTCAAGAAGTGCTTCTCTACTGAATACTCACCATCATTTGATTCATTTCCACCAGCGTGTTCAAGTTGGATTAATCAAAACTTACCACCTCTTGGATTACCTTTTAGCTTTCTAATTGTCTTAGGTGGTTGAAATGGGTGAGGATGAGAACAATGTCTTTCAAAAACAGCACCGGATGGAATGAGAAAACCTTCAACCATACTAAAGTCACACCCGCAACTAATAAAAAACTAATAAATACAAGCCCGATGAGGGGGAAATAAGCAAATAAAGAAAACAAAACAGAATATGATGCTCCAAAGCATGGTGTACTCACGCATCTTCCAATTTTCTTGTACCTCGCACTTCAATAGAAACTTCTGCGTCTCTATTTGCATCTAACTACTGCTTCCTTAACAAAAACTACTTACTTTCACACTATCGCTTTGTAGACAAATAGCCATATGCAGCAACAATTCGAGATAAATGTATCAAAACATTACCATCAGAAAGAATCGCAAGAAAAAAAGTGAAAAGAATAAACCTGACCAACACAATGCCCCTTTCCACGATTGAGTATCGTTGAGCTCGGGTGACCACGCCGCGTGACAAATACAATACTAGGATATTGAAGACATTGAAGACAGTACACAAGAGCTAAAAATATGAGATCAAAATAAGATTCACTTTCATCCAAACTTACCATTAGGAAACCATTAGGAAACTTGTGGTGTTCTATAACTAATTTTAACTTTCGAAGCCAATTTCTAATTGACTTAGGAATTCGAAAAGCAACATGAAATTATGAAAACAACAAACCACATGAAAAATAAAATAAAGAAAGAGTAATGGTAATAAAAGTTAAATAAAGGGAAGGAGTAAATACCTGACTACATATACCATTGACTCATTCTTTAGGTTATTTATATTGCAAGGGAAAAGATACATCTCACAACTGAGATGAAGGCACAACATGAATAAAGAGACCATAGACTAGAAAGACAGCCAGGCCATAAAGGATAAAGACACAAACAAAACTTGAACAAATAGCATAAAGACACAAACATAAACAAATGTAAAGGTTTAAGTCGGTTTAACACAAACACAAACATAAAAACATAAAAACAAACAAACATTCTCTAACTAATTTCTCACGACAAGCGTTCACAGTCAGCAATGCAAGGAAAGAATATCAAAGACCAAAAATTTTGAACACTCCAGTGCAAGAACTTAAAAAGAATAATAATAAAAACAATCAACATCCATAAGGAAGCGAAAAAAAAACAAGCTAGAAGCTGCTCCCCCAAAAATACAAACCTAACCAAAACATATACAATAAAATCCTAACCAAATACAATCAACCAAAACAAATGTCCAATTAAAATAACCAATAATTGGTATTGAAATGGGAAGGCAGGGAGAGAGGAAATTAAAGACTAAGTGCTCCCTCCCCTCCAAAATAGTAACAATAGTTTAGAATAATTGATGCACACATTTTACACAATAACAACATCATATTTTGCCAACAAAACAATATCCAACTCAACAAACTAAACATAAAAATGGTCATCATAATACTACAATGCCCCCGTTAACATTCACATTATTTAAAAATTGACCATTGCAATTTATGAAGAATAATAACAAGCAAGAACCCCATGATGGCCACCTACCCTAGAAATTAGTAATTTCTATGTGTTTTCCAGCACTAAATGTTCTAGGGTCCAGATAGTTGTCCTGTGAGATTAGTCGAGATGCACCTAAGCTGGCCCAGACACTCACGGATATCAAAAAATAACAATAGCCAAGAACAAAGCTAAACACTCATATAGTTAGTCAACCTCGATGGATATGTTAGGACAATTAAGGGAGAAAAATATTTATGATTATATAACTAAACAAACTGTAATCAATCTCAACCGACAGGACGACATTCCTAACCAAAAGCTAACAACTACATAATCTATGTAGTTCAATAAATACAATTAATAACAAATGTTTCATTTCAATAACTTTG